TCTCACAACAGCTGTTTTTTTTTTGGTCATATAATTTTATTTCTAGGCGCGGAAACTGAGTGAAGAGGCGGGAGGATCGGAGGGATCGAAAGCAAAGCGGCCGAAGTTAGAGGAAGCGTCAGATGAGGATAGTAATGCTACTAAAAGCAACGATGCGCCACCCACCACTTCTTCTGGTGAAGCGAACAAGCGCGGCGAAGATGAGGAAATGAGCGTAGACGAAGAGGAGCTGGAAGCAGTGGAGGAGCATAATGGCAGCTTGGTAGGTGGTTTGCGACTTTATACTTCTTATATTGCATTTTGTTTCTTCACGTATTGTGTTTTTAGGAGGGCAATGGAGATGGTCGGGGAATGCTGGAAAGTGTTGATTACGCCAAACTAAACAGTGTGAATAGCGATGAACGACAGCAGGAATTAGCAAATATTGCAGAAGCTGCGCTTAAATTTCAGCCGAAAGGGTTTACTTTGGAGACGACTCAGGTTCGGAACTTTCCAGAGTTTCTTGCATACAATACCTAATTTAGGTGAGATATAATTTGGTTTAGGTCAAAACAGCGGTGCCTTTCTTAATCAGGGGAACTTTACGTGAGTATCAAATGGTAGGATTGGACTGGTTAGTCACGTTATACGAAAAGAACCTCAATGGGATATTAGCCGACGAGATGGGTAAGCAGTATCTCATCTGCATTCTTTGCATGTTTAAAAATTTGTATATCCTGGCTTGTGCAGTCTAACTTTTCAATTCTCTAAGTACAGGTTTGGGAAAAACTATCCAAACGATCTCCTTATTGGCTCATCTTGCGTGCTGTGAATCAATCTGGGGTCCGCATTTGATTGTGGTGCCAACATCAGTAATTTTGAATTGGGAGATGGAACTGAAGAAGTGGTGTCCAGCATTCAAAATTCTAACCTATTTTGGGGCACAGAAAGACCGTGCGGAGAAGCGAAAGGTGAGCTTCACTTGATCTGCTTTCATATTTGCAATTGAATAGATATTTCCATGACTGTCATTATTCTATCTTTACATTCAGGGATGGTCAAAGCCAAACGCATTTCATGTTTGTATAACGTCCTATAAGACGGTCACTGCTGACATTAGGGCGTTCAAAATGAAGGTGATTTGTTACTACTTTTATACACTGTGTTTATATTAAATAAATTTTTTGTG